AACATTTTATTTGGTCTTTACCTGCTGCATCAGAAAATACCAAACTGGCATTTATCAAAGATCCTTTGTTTATTTAAGAATACACTGTTAAAGACCACCCTAGACAACATGGTGAAACTCCGTTTCTACTAAAAATACAAAAATTAGCTGGATGTGGTGGTGGCTGTCTGTGATTCCAGCTACTTGGGAGGCTGAGGCAGGAGAATAGCTTGAACCCGGGGGGCAGAGGTTGCAGTGAGCCAAGATCACGCCACTGTACTCCAGCCTGGGCAACAGAGTGAGACTCCATCTCAAAAATAAATAAATAAATTTTTAAAAAGTAAAAAAAGAATACACTAATAAGATGGGTCTGGTGGCTAATACCTGTAATCCCAACACTTTGGGAGGCTGAGGCAGGCAGATTACTTGAGCCCAGGAGTTTGAGACCAGCCTGGGTAACATGGTGAAACCCTGTCTCTACAATAAATACAAAACTTAGGCGGTTGTGGTGGCATGCACCTGCAGTCCCAGCTACTCGGGAGGATCGCTTGTGTCCAGGAGGTGGAGGCTGCAGTGAGCTGTGATGGCACCATTGCACTCCAGCCTGGGTGACAGGGCCAGATCCTGTCTCAAACAAACAAAAAACCAAAAAGAAAACACTAATAGTATTTCTCCTTTACAAATCTGCAAGGTAAGAAAAACAATCAAAACATCTACCTTAGATTTAAAAACCAAGTAAAACACTGAATAGATATAAACCTATAAATTTATCACTATATCAGACAGTGAAGGTAGAGCAGGGAGGAAGATAACACTTGTCTGCTAACCCTGGAGGAGGTAATATCAACTCCAATATATATTACCAATACCAATGCAATACCAATACATAACACCAACTTCCTATTCTGAAAATTGGCAATTAAGATATTAAGTATTTATCCTGCCTTTTCACAAGAGACTATAATTCATCCCTAGTTGATAAGAAAAACTTCTTTACAAAAAGATTGCCAAAAGGAAGGGCATGCATAGAAGAAAAGAAGTATGAGAAATTCGCCTAAAATCTCCTGTGTAATAACTGATTTAGGCAAAGACAATCACAGGTGCCTAAAACCATTATGTGAAAGACTGTTAGAAAACAAAGACCGTCACACAGTGCCAAAGTGTCTCCTCACTGACTACTTGCTAATCGTAAAGAGAAAAGATTGCTTTATGTTGGAGACAGGGCATCACCAGTAGTGACGACAACCTGACTTCATGAGCCTCCCAACCAGAGGCTCTATAAAGTACTTGTCTGTCATCAACCATAAAGTATTCTAATAAAAATGCTTTACATAAATACAATCAAGCCTCTAGATCTCATTTACAATTTAGAAGAATTATAGAGGATGCATAATCCCTGAATAAGCCTGGACTGAAGACCCGATCTAAAAGGCCATTTTGGGAAAACACGGAAATCTGAATATGGACTGAATATTAGATGACATAAGAAAAGTATTTTCTTAGCTGTGATAATGGTAGTATGATTACGTATGTATATGAAAGGTCCCTATTTTTATTAACAGGAGTTACATGTTGAAGTATTCAGGAATGAAGTATCATAATATCCAAGTCTTATGTTCAAATGGGTCATCAAAAAATATAGATTTAAGCAAAGAGATAATAAAAATATGGCAAAATGTTAACTGCTAAATCTAGGTAATACATATATGGGTCATCAGTTTAGTTTTTTTTTTCAACTTTTCTACACATTTCAATCATTCTGTAAGTTGACAAAAATTACTTTAAAAGGAAAAATAATTATGTAACAGTCATGTTTTAGGAAGTAACAAAAATATTTCTTGACTATGATAGTGCTTGATATATGTGAATAAGGACATTAGTGATATTTGTGATATTCACTATTAAGTGGGAAGTTTTCAGGTGAATGGAAAAGTTCAAAGGAAGACTGAGGTAGAAAAAAGAACTACAAAGAGAAAAGCTTCTATGGAGAAAAACACAGGAAATCAACACTGGAGAAAATGAAGACAGCAATATTGCAAAGCTGGAAAACAAAAGACTTTGTCATCAGTTTCGTCTTTGAGATTAACAATTAAATTATATTTATCTTATGTAATAATAATAAATGTATCTTTCCAACCTTAAGTCTTATTTCATGTTCTAATTTTAAAGTGCTCTTCTGTACTTTAAACAGAAGTCAGGTTCAATGGAAGAGATAATTAAGTCATCAGTCCTCAAGGTCAAATGTAGCTCACATTGTCTCCAAGTGTAAGGCTAAATCTATACAAATTACTACATTAATAATTTCCCTGTGATATGTAATGGCTAATTGGAACAACCATTGGAATTTTTAAGTCTTCTGATTTCGGTCATCTTAACAATACCACTGATTAACTACAAAATCTCATTAGTCACCTGGGTATCAGTCTTTATTACCACAAGAAAAAGTAAATCAATTAAAAAAGGTCAATTCAGTCAGGCCATATAAACATTGTCACCACTTTTCTGGAATTAGACCCTTGTCATCAGACAGAAAATAACTGACACACTGACTACAAAAACAGAGTTTTATTATAAATGTTCTCTTAAATTTAAATCCTAAGTTTCCACACATATGCCTAAGCCATCACCTATAAGTCTACTGTGGCTTCATGCTCAGAACCTCATTTTATAGCTACTTTTAAACTTTCAAAATTGATTTACAGTGTTACAAAGAGAGGAAAAAGTCTAATTTTGCCTTCCAAATTTAGTCTAGCAGTACACCTATGAGGAAAAAGCAAAAACAGTACATAAATTTTTGTCTATTTTTTCCTACCCATTAGGAAAAGGGTGAGCCATATAATTTTCCTTACTAGTTTGGGAAGTTCTATCTGATCTCTAAGTCTATTTCTTCACTTGTAAAACAAATTATACACCTGTAAAACAGGGCTGCCACACCTGCTTTGCCTACCTTGAAGGGCTGCAATAAGGTGAGTTAAATTCCTTCAAGACTCTTCAAATAAAACAAATGACTTTAAAAATATCATTTGTTTAGATTACATCTTAATTTATTTTATGACTGAATATTCTGTGGTACAACATACAAGAAAATAATTAGTAGGATTTCATGTTTACTCCTTAGCTATTTAGTAAAAACCAAATTAGACATAATCATATACAAAGAACTTTTACCACAATTATTGAAGTTGAAACTAGTGAAATAATTGCTACATATAGATTTGGAGAAATTCTAAGAAGAAAACTTTTAAAATTCTCTTGGACTTAAAAAAAAAAAAGCCAATGTAATGAAAGACATAAATAAATAAAGGCAGGAGGTAAAGGGCATAATTTAGATGAAAACAATCAAATGAAATGCTGATCAGATGCAGTACATGATCCTTGATAAGGTCCTGGATCAAACAATAAAAAAAAATTAGAAAAATATTTTTGGGAAAATTGGAGCAATTTGTTCTGTATGTTAGATAATATTTTATCAACAATAAACTTTTTGAGTGTGACAGTAATATTATGGTTATGAATAAATGTCCTTGGTTTTAGGAGAAACATGCTAACATATCCAAAAAAGAAATGTTATGTTGTTTGCAACTGATTTTAAAATGGTTCAGAAAAAAATTTTAACTAGAGAGAAAGTAAATGTGGCAAAATGTTAACAACAGCTGAGAGTCTAGATGAACGGTATACAGGTGTTCATTATTCTGTTTCAATTCTTCCATCTGAAATTTTCAAAAGACTAAAGTGTGAAAAAATGGCAGAAAGACAACACTGAATAAACCGAACAAAAAGTTGGCAAGTAATGAAAAAAAGCATGTCAATTTTTCATTAATAAAACTATGTATTTCAAAAACCTAACTTTCTAAGCCAAAATAGATTCAATATAATACTGAGATATTATGTCCTTATTCAAGAGTGACACTTAAAACAGTTAAATTAGGTGAATTTAATAATATAATAAAAGGTCTCACTAAAAGACTTCCTGTAGGTAAAACACAGTGTAATTTCTAAAAGTGGAATAGAAATAGACAAAAATGTTATTAGAAAAGATCATGAAACTAAACTTAAGTCTTATAGATTAGTAGACTGGTACCTACAGGTTTTCAGGAATACAGCTATTATATAAAAGGCCATACAACTTTACATTCTTCTTTAAAGGATAATTTCAAAGACAAGGAGAACAAATGTGATGGCTCTTGTTTTATCACACACTTCAACCACTCCAAAAACAAGCACAGTAGAACAACTAGAAATAATTAGGGGCAGTCCACAGGCAAAAACAATGACATTTTGGTCTAGAAATGCCATTTTTCTAGAGTAGGAATGCTCTAAAAAATGAGGAAAGAAAAATCCTCTAATCAACACTAGACTTAAATAATAGACAAAGTTAAATTTAAGACCATGAAGTAGAAGAAACTAAGTATGCCTTATACTGAAAAGTTTTCCTACAGGATTTTAGATGAAAAAATTGTAGCTAGATTTCAATAGTCTTCTTTGTTTCAAACCAGTATATATAACTTGACAAATTCTCTATGTGGTGTGGTACTACATTTTAAATGCAGTATAAGCACTCAACTATTCTAAATGGACTGGCAGGCTTTTCTGTTCTGACAGATTGGACAATTGCCCAACAATCCCATAAGAAATAAGAAAGTACAGTCAAGAAGGTCTTTTTATGGCTTCATTTGAATATTAACTAGAAAGAGCATCACTATAACATGAGCTAACAATTTATGTTTAACCTTAAATAAATTCATGAAAAACTTAAATATACTGTTAATGTAGAGTTACATTCTCTGCTTTAAAACCCATTTACTGGTATAGATGTCCATTACTATATTTTCTTAGGAAATATACACTATTTCTTATAACAGATAAGCTCTGTAATAGAAACAGATTAAATCATATTTATGAACTAACCTGTTTTTACCAGTGCTTCTCTTTTCTTTATAAGGCATCAACAACGTAAACGGCACAGACAAAAACAAACTTCCTAAGATGTATGTTTTTTTTCAAAATAGCATTTCCTTTACCTTGTTAATGGGTACTATCAAAGCTGGTTCCACTTTAGCTTCAATTTCCTCTGGACTGTAAAAACAATAGAGTTTACCTCCTCGCAAAACACAATACAGCCTTCTCCAACTAATCAGACCTTCTATCGTTTGCTGGGGAAAAAAAAATCAAGAGACTATCAATTTTAAATTATTAGCACCTTAACTCTAAACTCATCAAAATACTCATCAAGGTTAAATTAGTTATTTAGAATTTTTTTAATGTGATGGAATTATCCATTAATTTGCTATACAAAAGGTTAATTGCCCCAAATCCAAGAATATGTTAATATCAGAGAATAAAAGTTTGGAATTCTTAAAGGCATTAAGTGAAATGGAGGCAATGATTACCACCTAACTTTTACACACATAAAACCACAGATTAATGCTGTTTTAGAAAAGCTAGCCAATTAAAAATTAGTGCGTAGAATTCTATAGCAATTCATTAAATGACTCAGGAAAATATCTGTATGTTCAAAATATTATTTTCCCTACTGCTCTCAGAGCATCAGAAAATGTCAACTACCCTGTAAGAATGCAAATTTTCTTTCCTCCTAATGGAATCTTTTAGAAAAAGCTATTGATTCATTGAAGCTCACAATTAATTATTTACTGAATATAAATAACTATGGTTATAAATAAATCAGGAGTAGGTGGCACAGAGGCAGCTTTGGAAGCTCTGAGTCCTAAACCGTGCCAAACGCTGTCTGCCAGAAAGACCTTTATGTGAAAGGTGTTGAGCAGCCCTCATCATTTTCCATAAGGATTCCTCTGTTGCTGATGATCCTGTTGCTGCTATTAATGAAGCAGAGGAGCATGGAGAGGTAGCGCCTTAGCCATCAACATTGCTGTAGATCCCTCCCTGCCTTGCCATTCTTTTCACCTGGAACCCCCTACAGTTTATATCTGATAACATTTAGAAAACTGACTTTTAAAAAAAGACTTAAAACAATACTTCTCAATATCAGAAGGTGAAACAACTGCCAGTATACTAAGATTTAAAGTGGAGCTACAATTGTTCTAGGATATTTAAAGTCCTCTAACCTGCTGATTAAGAAATCCTGCAAATGCATCCTCAGCCATACAAGCTGGCTGGGCAACTAGTCGACAGCACATGTTGCCATATAGGGGAAGCCAAAATGAAGACTCCTCTAGTTAAAGGAGAAAGAAAAAAAAAAAAATCAAGTTACAAATATATGTTTATTTAAGGTCATTATATACATTTTTTTTTACAATTTTGTTTTGCTTAGTACAGAACATATTTTAAAATTACTTTTATGTAAAGAGTCATCCTACTCAAATACCAGTGCCGTATTTAGTGTGAAAATCAAATATGAGAACAGAAAGGACAGGATAATATTAAACTGATAGTTTATAGCATGCTATTACCTGAATTAAAAATGAACTGTTTAGTCTCTTGTTTGATCTTAATTGAATATTCAATGAAAGTTCTTCAGAGAATGTAAGTGATCTCATTTAACATAAAAACATTCTAATATGTTTATCAAATTCTACTTTTTGCTCTGATTCTCATTATAATAATTAAAAGGTGATCCTTGGAATAAAACATTATTCCACTTTGCAACACCAAGGCAGGCAGATCACTTGAGATCAGGAGTTCGAGATCAGCCTGGCCAATATAGTGAAACCTCGTCTTTACTAAAAATACAAAAATTAGCCAGGCATGGTGGTGCATGCTTATAGTCCCAGCTACTCGGGAGGCTGAAGCAGGAGAATCGCTTGAGCCCGGGAGGCGGAGGTGGCAGTTAGCTGAGACTGTGCCACTGCACTCCAGCCTGGGCGACAGAGCAAGACTCCATCTCAAAAAAACAAAAATGGAAAAAAAAACACATTATTTCAGAGAATAAGATAACTTAATCAACATTTTTGACCCTTTCTCTTCCCCTTCTCTTCCTGAACAATTCAGTCATAAGCCATTAGGTAGCGCCCCCAACATGAACATCTGTTCCAGGACCGGAGAAGAAGCTGTGGTGTGCTAGAAATGGATGGTGGAGACAGGCAGAATGAGAATGTTGAGCAGGAGGGGCTGCCTGCAGGAAGTATCAGTGCCTCAAGGGGCTGAGAGAGTGATGACACTGGGGTGCAGCCTAGATTTGAGACTCTGTCTTGAGCAAGCAGGGTAAAAGAGGTATGCCTGGGAAGAGGAGCCTGAGGTGGAACATCAGAGCCCGAGGGGATCCTCTACTCAGGAGATGGCCTGCTGTGGGAAGTCAGGGACCAATCAGAGAAAGTGGGGGCTGCTTGATGTGAAGTATCAGAACCCAGGCAGAACAGAGTATCCATATTCAGGGGCAGCCTAGCCTTGGAAGTCAGAGTCTGACAGCAGTGAAGCAGCCATCTACACATGGGGTAACTCAGCAGTATGTCAGAGCCCTAAGTTGAGTGAGAAGGGCATCCAGGGTTCCCTGGGAAAATGGCCAATTCCAGGGATGGGGAAAAGTACATGATGAACTGAATATATTGATACATAAGGAAGTGTTCAAAGAATGATGGGGATGTGTCAAAAAGACATAGAGGTCATCTCGCATGGACTCTCATTGGCCAAATTGGGGACAATTTGAACCATAAAACAATGATATTAACAGATTATGATACACTGCAAAAACATGAGTCCATACTGATATAAAGCAAGGAATACATTGAAAGTCTAGTTAAGAAATATTATACAGTTGACCTTTGAACAACATGGGTTTGAACTACATGTGTCCACTTACATATGGATTTTCTTCCACCTCTGCCACCTCTGAGGCAGCAAGACCAACTCCTCTTCTTCTTCCTTCTCAATGTGAAGATGATGAGGATGCAGACCTTTCTGATGATCTGCTTCCACTTAATAGTAAATATATTTCCTCCTTCTTATCATTTCCTAATAACATTTTTTCTTTAACTTACTTTATTATAAGAATCTTGTATATTTTATATATATAACATACATAATGTTTTACTTGACTGTTTATGTTATCAGTAAGGCTTCTGGTCAACAGTAGTCTATTAATAGTTCTATTAGTCTATTAGGAGGAGTCAAAAGTTATATGTGGATTTTTGGCTGCATAGGGGATGGCACCTCTAACCTGCATGCTGCTCAAAGGTTAACTGTGCTTACACAGTAGTTTCTTTTTTTTCTTTCCTTCCTTTTATCACCTTCCTCCCTTCCTTTCTTTCTTATTTGAGACAGTCTTACTGTGCTGCCCTGGCTGGAGTCCAGTGGCACAATCTCGGCTCACTGCAGCCTTGTCTTCCCCAGCTCAACCAATCTCCCACTTCACCCTCCAGAGTAGCTGGGATCATAGGTGTGCTCCACCACTCCCAGCTAGTTTTTGTATTTTTTGTAGGGATGGTGTTTTTCCAGATTGCCCAGGCTAGAGTACTTTCAAGGTACTCTCCTCTAACCACAAAGTATGTACTGATTACAAACGGGGAAACAAAAGAGTAACTTCATAGTACAGAAGTTTGGAAGACACCATCTCAACCAAGTGATCAAAGCGAACATCATTAATAATGGCTGAATCAATGATATGTCACTTGATAGGATAAAATGAGAATGCAGTATCACTTCTGTGATATTTCTGCCAGAGAAGTATATCCTGAATCTTATTCCAAGAAAACATAAGACAAACACAGATAGAGGGACCTTTTACAAAATAACCAGCTATACTCTTGTAAAATGCCAAGGTCATGAAAGTCAAAAAATGACTGAAGAACTAGTCCAGATCGAAGGAAAATAAAAAAGCATGACAATTAAATGAAATGTATGATTCTGCACTGTATCCCTCTGCCATAAAAAACATTATCAGGACAGTGGGCAATACCTTGAATTGAGTCTGAGGATTACATGGCGGTAATGTACTGGTATTAATTTTTTGACTTCGAGTGTGATGGTGATGTAGCTGAATGTTCTGACAGTAGGAAATATGTATTAATACATTCTGGGGTACGGACTATCATGTAAGCAACTTGCTCTCATAAATTTTTTTGAGGAAAAAAAAAAAAAATCCTGACATTCAAGCTGGGTGTGGTGGTACGTGCCTGTAGTACCAGCTACTCCAGAGGCTAAGGTGGAAGGACTGCTTGCACCCAAAAGTTTGAGGCCAGACTAAAGTTTGAGGCCAGACTAGGTAATATGCCGATACTCATCTCTAATTACAAACAACCAAATAAACTTGACATTCAACTTGCATCTTTTCTACAAGTATAACATTGTTTAAAAAAGTTCTTTCAAAAAACATTAAGATACTTTAATGAAGATAACTACCTGTGTACTATCTATCTATACGGAGAAAAACATTAAATAATTTATTCTAGGCATCAGGGTATAAACAACAATTCAACGTATGGCTGTTAGTTCACACTGGACCACATAAAAATGATTTTTAAAGTTTTTGCTGTGTCCTGATGGTAGTGCCTATAAAATGGCTAGCTACTGGCCATAATTATTATTTACCTAAAAGTTTTAATTACCCCAGATTTTTTTTGTTATTTAATATATACATGCAAGGTAGCCAACGTCTGTAGTAAAACCAAAAAGTCTTAAACTTATCTACCCAAGATTCTACTATACAATAGCACACAACAATGTTCTGAGAGTATTCAAATCTTTTTCATTAATACATTTTTAAAGCTGCTATATTTTAGCAATAAAGGGCTTAATCTGGGAAAAATAAATGCACAAGCATAATAAATGCAATTCCAAAATGCAAACACAAATAAAAGCTATTTTTCCTAAAACAGGCAGCAAATAAAAATTATTAAAAGCATACATTTCAGTAATACTTGTGAAATCAACTTTGTGATTTATAAAGTTTGAAAGCAAACTTCTTTATATAGGCAATCCCAGATTTATGAATAGCTTATGTTCTAAATATCTGTGAGTGAGCTGAAAAGTACATCATAAAGAGTAAGAAACATGAAGGATACAACGAAAAAGACTAACATAGGTTTAACAGGAATGCAAGAAGGAGAAAAGCTAGAAAACGGCAGAGGCAGTTTGAAACACATATGTGAGATTTTGTCTAAACTGATGAAACATATCTATCCACAATGTAAAGAAGCTCAAGAAACCCCAAGCAGCATAAACTCTACACCTAATTATACCACAGTAAAATTTTAGAAAACCAAAGGCAAAAAAGAAATAAAAAGATTACACTTACAAAGGTAACACACTGACAAATGATTTACAACATTTATAATAAAATAGAAGCCAAAAATATTGGAATTATATCTTCAATATTCAACAAAACAGTGAAACTGCAGAATTAAGAAATATCTTCAATTATGAGGCAAAATAAAGCCATCTTCAGATAAACAAAAAGAACCAAGAAGTTTGATATCAGTAGAACACACTAAAATAAATTCTAAGGCACATACTTCAAGCAGAAGGAAAATTATCCCAGACGCAAGGCAAAAGATACAAGTAGTGCATAGAAACATGCAGGTAAACCTAAATAAGTATTAAATCTATAAAACGTCTTCCTAAAAAAAAAAAAAAAGAATTACAATATATAAAAATAGCACATAGGTTAGGGGAAAGAGTTTAGCTGTTCCAAAGTCCTTGTATTATCTGAGAAAAGCACAAAACTATTTTTTAAGTTTAGATTTTAATAAATATGATTAATGAAATTTTTAGAGATTAAGTTCTAAAAAATGATAAAAAGGAGGTATAACTTTAATTCAAACAAGGAAAAATTGCCTTAAAAATGCAAGAAAAAAAAAACCATGGAATAGGTGAGACAATTAAAAAACACAGGTTATCATAGTAGATTTAAAGCTAAATATACAGCTATTTGATATTCAACACAGAAGGACTAAAAACTTCAGGAAGAAAAGATTGTCAAATTAGAGAAATGTTAAAATCCAATATAATGCTGAAGAGGCATGTCTGTAACACAATACAGTTTGATGTAAAAGAAGAAAATACACAATTTAAACACATATGCATTAAAGAACAAAGGCTCAAATTATATACAGCAAAAATTGACATAACTATGGGTAGAAAAATCCACAATCGCAGGAGATTTTATCACACTTCTTGCAGTAATATAGACTACAGTCATTACTCCTAACAAATAATTAGCAAATATGGAACACATAAGTGAATAAAACTGACAAATCTATTATGAGAATGAGAATTTAAAAACAGAGATGGTACAGAAAGTAAGTACCAGTAATGGAAAAGAGGGAACAATGTTTCAGAGGCTGCAGAAATTCAATAGATACAGGACACTATAGAGAATTCAATGCCTATAAATCTCAAAGTTTAGATCGAATGGATATCTATAAAAATATAACTTATTGAAACTGACCCAAGAAACAGAAAAGCTGAAGAACCCTGTAACTACTCAAAATGATTAAATCAGTGTGAGAGATAAATACATATTATCACAAAATGAGATAATATAAGTAATGAAAAGCGTACATACGGAATGATTAACAAAAAGCAAATTACTAAGACAAGATGATTCCATATCAAAGTTCAAATCATGCAAAATTATATTATTTAGGGAAGCACACAAATGTGGTATTAAGAAAACCATAAAGAAAAGCAAGGAAGTATATACCACAAAGATGGAGATATATGACTAGGGTAACCAAGGGAAAGTAGTGGTAGTAATGTTCTATTTTTTGACGTGTTCTATTTCTTGAGACAGGGTCTTGCTCTGTACCCCAGGCTGGAGAACAGTGACACAATCATACCTCACTGCAGACTTCTGGGCTCAGGCAATCCTCCTACCTCAGTGTCCTGAGTAGCTGGAACTACCTGCACGCACCACCATGGCCAACCAATTTTTTTGTTGTTGTTGTTAGAGATAATGTCTCACTATGTTGCCCAGGCAAGTCTCAAACTCCTGGGTTCAAGTGATCCTCCCACCTCATCTTCCCAAAGAACTGGGATTACAGGAATGAGCCACCACACCTAGCCTCAAAATTACCTTTTTTAAATTATATATTTACATTTCATGAACTTTTGCCTATTTTTAACGTAACTTCTTATTGTGAAACAAAAAATATTGGTATAACATTATCAATTTTATCAGTACAGAGCCACGGTCTTTACAATAGTAAGTATAATTAGGACATTTACCACTTACTAATTTTGCTTGGAGAAAATGAACAAAAGTAAACAACCCAAATCATACTTCCAAACTGCCTTACCAACACTGCTCCATATTTTTTATCATGAGTAAAATCACCTGGGAGAGTAGCAAGTGCTCATGCTAAGTTTTACAAATCTTCCTAATGACCTAACCCCCTTCTTCACTTTCCTGTATATTTATTTTGGATAAACTAAAACTACCACTACACTCCAAACAGAAAAGGGTTAAGATAATTTAACCCTTTCTCTTTCTTACATTCTCTGCTTCCTACTAACAGAAAAGCTGGGTTCCTTGATTTTAAATTTAAAAGTAAGTCATGTCTTTAATTTCCAGCTAGAAGAGTAGTGAAGTCATAACTTCCAAGTCAAAAACAAGGATTCAGTATACCTGAGACCTTTCTTTTCCCACTAAATCTTGCAAACAAATCTCAGTGTAGAGAAAGGAAAATAAACTTTTCTCCTTTGGGGAAGAGGGACAGATATATTTGAAAGAACCAACAGAATCACTTGTGTCTCCACTATTTAAGCTGATAACCACTTGAGGGGAACATACTATAATTAGAAATACAGGCAGAATGTATGTAATAAGTAAAATATATATTGTACTTACCATTTCCATTAATAGACAGATTATGGGTCTTGAAACTATCCTCAGCACTTTCCAAGGTTAGGGTAGTGTGAGCTAGCAAATTATACTTTACACCACTAATAGTGAGAAAGAAGACACGTTTTAAGTATTTTTGTATGTTTGCTACTACTATACAAAATATTTATATGTTCAACAACAAATAATAAAACACTTGATTTAAAGATAAGCAAAGGACTTAAACAGAAATTTCTCCAAAGCAGATATACAGTCAACAAAAGAATAAAAAGATGCTCAGTATCTTTAGTCATTAGGGAAACACAAATCAGAACCACAATGAGATATCATTTCATACTCACTAAGATAGCTATTAGTAAAACAAACAAAGAAAACCAGTAACAAGTGTTAGCTGGTATGTGGAGAAACTAGAACCTTTGTGCATGGCTACTGGGAATGTAAAATGACACAGCCTACATGGAAAACATTTTGGTGGTTCTTCAAAAAATTAAAAATAAAATTACTGATCCTGCAATTCTACTCTGATATATACCCAAAAGAAGTGAGAGCAGAGACTCAGATATTTGTACACCTATGTTCACAGCAGCATTATTCACAATAGCATAAAGGTAGAAGAAATCCAAGTGTCTATCCAAGGAATCAACAAAATGTGGGGTATGTGTTTGTGTGTGTGTGTGTACATACACACACATATATAAAATGCAATATAATTCGGTCTTTAAAAAGAAGAAAATTCTGACATACAACATGGATGAATCTTGAAGACATTATGCTAAGTGAAATAACCAGTCACAAATGGACAAACACTATATGATTTCACTTATAAGAGGTACCTAGAGTAGTGAAATTCATAGAGATGGAATGTAGAATGGTGGCTGCTAGGAGGATAGAGTGAGGAATTAGTGTTCAATGGATACAAAATTTCAGCTTAAGAAGATGAAAAACTTCTGGAGATGGAGGGTAGTGATGGTTGTACAATGTGAATGTACTTAATGCCTCTGTATACTCAAGAATGCTCTACTACAAAAAAAATTAGATATGATAGATGACATTTTTTGACAATAGAAGTTTTAATTTAGCAAGTTTATCTCTGATATTTTGTCAATAAAATCTGCAAATTATTTGTTTTAATTCACACAAATATTTCTCTGAAGGGTCCCCGCTCATTTAATAAATATTTATTGAATACTTAAAATGTGCCAAGTCCAATGCTGGGTGATGGGCATTCAATGGCAAACAAGATCCAGCATTACATTCTGATGCAGGCAGAATGAAAAAAGAGTAGGCCAAGGAATAAATCAAATACCTGCATTTTCAAGTTGGAATGTAACTTTTTCTATGAAAGAGACAAAAAAGAAAACTGAGGACCTGTGTTAGATAGGTGAATTGGGGAAGGCTTTTCTGGGGAGGTAACAGTTATCTAGTCATAAAAGAATCTAGCCAAGCAAAGAATGCAGGAAAACATTCCAAGCACAGTGACCATGTGCAAAGGGAGGGCTGAAGGAAAACCAGTGTGGCCGGTGCACAGCAAGCAGGAAGGCTGGAAATACAGGCAGTGATGAGCTCACCTGGGGGCTCTGTGAGCCTTGGAAGAGGGGTGGATTTAATTCTAAGTGTAAAGCAAAGTTGATAAAAAGTGGAATGATAGGGTCTGATTTATATTAATTTCCCAGGGGCAAAGGCTCTCTTCTTGGCCAAACTCTAGCCAGGTTCCTCTGAGTCCTTTTCTCAACTACGCCTCAACCTTGGCCTCTAAAGACCTGAACAAACACTAGCATTGTTTCTAGCAGCTCAAAGTTGCATCCCTAAGACGTCTTCTTAAAGTGCCTGCCTGAGAAAACTCAAGGCTGACAAAAGAATTTGTTCCAGCCAAGACCTGAAAACAGGGCCTTTGTCTTTCAGTCTCTGTGGTAAGGTAGAAGACTAATTTTGGTAAGTACCAGCTAGCATACCCAGGTGGGTTTTACATGGACCAATCCCCGCTTCCCACTATCTGGTACTTTTCACTTAGCTAACTCGGAGCCTGACTCAACTTCTCCCAACTTCCTCATTCTCCCTTTAAAAGGCCCAGTCGCCTCTACACAAATCAAAGTTGAGTGCAATTCATGTGCAACTCGTCTCATTGCAATAGCACATTAACTATCGTGCAGCTTTGCTTATTTTTCACAGAATGGATCTCCTTCTTCTGGTTATCTACATCAGAGATTTGAGGGTTTTATCTATAGCGTGAGAACATGGAGGACTTCATTATACTCATTCCATTTTTTTCTTTTCATTATAGTTCCCTTTGTGGTACTTCCCAAATACCTAGAATTTCTTCTGATGAATTTCATATCCTGGCACTGCTGTGGTGATAAAAAGTAAATTTATGTTCAGTAACAACTGTATTTCCTATGTTAGTAATCCTCATTTTTTTCATGATTTTTTTTTCCAAAATCAGTAAAATCTCGAAACATCGAGTATATTGAGAGAGAGAGAGAGAGAGAGAGAGAAAGAAAGAGAACGCACGAGCAAGCCAAAGAGAGATAAGAAAACAGTGATGTCAGCTGGGCACGGTGACTCATGCCTGTAATCCCAGCTACTGGGGAGGCTGAGGCAGGAGAACTGCTGGAGTCCTGGAGATAAAGGCTGCAGTGAGCCAGCGTGAGACTCTGTCTCAAAAAAAAAAAAGACAGTGATGTCTGATAGGAATTTATATTAATTGTTCTAGGTGTTGTTTCATAAACATCCTTTGTTTCTTACTAAATCTTTAATAAAATCTCTGTATTATAAAGAAAAATATGCACACATTTAGTAAACATGCAATGTATGCAGCACTTCAGTAAATAACAGCATACTCCATAGACTACTACTCCCTTGGAGAATGCCTGTTGGCTTTTACTATATAGTCATTAAAGACCAAAGATAACTCTCTATACCCAATGTTTTTGGTCAATGTTTATATAGGAAAATTTACATTTCTGTCTCCAAATTTCAACATAACATTTTAACAAAACAATGCATGAGTAAACATTCGAGTTACATTCTGAATTGCTATGTCAAACTCACATTTAGACTTTTCAAAAGTTTACAATGTATCAACAAATCTTTACTGCTGCCAGAACTAAGAGAGGCACAAGTGGCCATTCTCTGCTATTATTCACTTATTCTGAACAAGCTTCTCTAGTGTCTTTCATAATTAGCTCTTATTTTTGCCTGTTGTTCACACAATTAATCCTAAAAAAGTTGAAGAACTAAATAAAACTGTGAAGAAAGAATCAAAGTAGGCTGGGCACGGTGGCTCACACATATAATCCCAGAACTTTGGGAGGCTGAGGTAGGTGGATCACTTGAGGTGGGAAGTTCGTGATCAGCCTGGCCACCATGGCGAAACCCCATCCCTACTAAAAATGCAAAAATTTGCTGGATATGGTGGCATACGCCTGTAATCCCAGCTACTTGGGAGGCTAAGGCAGGAGAATCACTTGAACCCAGGAGGGGAGGCTGCAATGAGCCAAGATCCTGCCACTGTACTCCAGCCTGAGCGACAGAACAAGACTGTCTCAAAAAAAATTTTTTTTTAAATCAAAGTAATTGAGAACAGCAACTACAAAGGAAGAGTAAATATGACTACACACAAACTGCATACTAACATTCGTATTAGTTGCTTGGTTATCAGGGTTCAATATGTTAAGCATTATCCCAACATAATAATTTGTCCCTGATAAATTAGTCTTCTGAAACTGTATTTTAGAAAAGTATATGGGTGTTTTAAATTGGTAACATATTATAATATTTTCCACTTAAAATAATAGGAAGTAGACTCCCTGTGAGCATTTTAGGGCAGAATATGTTATTCTCAAGAAAAGATTATTGACAATAAGTGGGGGTGCCTACATTTGCCAGGTACTGTTCCAGGTTTTAAAGCTACAACAATTAACGAAATGGGGGAGGAGAATGTATAAATACATAAACATACATTTATATATTTATCTATTTTTCCTCTTTTATACAGGAAGAAAAGTACATAGAAAAATGTATAATTATATCAGGCCCATGAAGCTAAGTAAAGCATGGTGAAGGATTAAGGTGAGGAGAGAGTGCTATTTCAGATGGCCAAAGGAGAAGGCCTATCTCCAAAATAACACTTGAGTGAAGACCTGAAAGGAAGAAGTGAGCCACAAGAACAGAAGGAAGAGTATTTCAGGCAGAGGACAATACATATAAAGGCTAAGGTGAGTACATGCTAGGTGTGTTTGACAAATAAGGAGGCCAGTGTGACTGGAGTACAGTGAGGGTGGGAGAGTGATTTGAGATGTCCAAAATAAGTAGGGGGCAGTCTATACCAATCCTGGTAGGGCACAGTAAGGCATGGTAAGGACACGGGATTCTGAGTGAGATGTGCAGCAAATGGTAGGTTCTGAGTAGTCATGTGCTATGATCCCTCTGGCTGCTGTGTGGAGAACAGACAACAGAGGCCAAGAGTGAAAATGGAGACAGCAACTAAAAGGCTACTGCAACTGACCAGGCAAGAGCTGTTGCAGGCCTAGAATACAGTGGTGGTGGTGGGATGGTGAGAAGCGGTTCCAATTCCTGATATATTCTCTAAGTTGTCAGTGCAAAGGCAGGATGTGAAAGCAAAGGAAGAATTAAAGACATCTCCAAGGCTTCTGGTCCAAGCAAGTAGAAAAATTGAATTGTTATATTAACTGAAATGAGGCTGGCTGTGAGAGAAACAGATACAGGAGGTAAGAATTCAGTTTGAGGCAAGTTAAGTTTGAGACTGTTTTTGATATCTAGATGCATCCAGGCAACTGGATATATAAGTCTGGAGTTAAAAGAAGAGATGTAAACTTGGGAGTTATCAGTGTATACATGAAATTTAGTGAAAGTTAGGTGAAGTCCAAGGACCAAATACTGGGACACAAGCACTCCATTAAGTGAAGAGAAAAGAACTAACGAGAAAGGCAACAAACAAATGGTCACTGAGGTGGAAGAAAAATCAAGAAAGTAGTATTCTAGATGGCTTATAAAAATAGTATTTCAAGGAGGGTGATCAATTGTGTTAGTGGCAAAAGGTCCAGGAAGAGGAACACCAATAACTGACAATCAAATGTGGCAA